TAGATAATGCAGAAGAAGCCTTTCCGAATAGAATGATCTTGCATGACAGAATCATAGTTTTCTGCCCTCTCTCAGCTGTGGATAGCCTTGGTTTGATTTCATTTCCACGGATGCAATATTGCTCTGTCTCTGTCTCAAAGAGGTTACAGGCTGAAATTATACCCCCCCCCCTTGAGTGTGAAAAAGTGGTACGGTCCAGAGCGTTATCACATTGGCTTTTGTGTATGTCTATCACAACTATCATCTTCAGCCTTTAAGCATGTTGTAGTTCAGCACCCATAGAGTCAACTTCAGGGGACCAGGGCGAGAAGGACCGCGTTGGCCAAGAATTCTTAAAATACAAAACCGCCAGTGTGCTCCACACTGCAGTCAGGGTTAGGACTGCTGGTTGTGCTCCACGCTGCAATCAGACCATGTTGGCATCCGAAGCGAAGGACTGATGTGGAAAATGTCTCCTCGCTCTTTTTCATTTAAAAGAAACGCTGTAGGCTTTAGTGAGAAATTGCCTCTGCGGCGTAGCTGCTGCCTTAATAACCAATTTCTCTGTGTCCAACACAGACATGAAAACAAGTAAACTAACACCTGGGTCATCTGGAAAATGTCTCATGCAAAATTGTAATCACCCCAGGGGACATGATTACAATTTCCTAGGCAACTTTCAGACCCTTTCATGAAATTTCAGTTTTTTCAACACAGAGCTCTGAATTTTTGTTGCTGTCTCTGGTAATAGAAACATTTTTTATTCTACCCAAACCTGGTGAGAAGAATTGCATATGACACTTTTCATCCAGAACTCTGTCTAGAGGTGCAGAGGCCTTTATAAAGAAAATGAAGTGGCTAATTGCAAATGTGTGGTTTGCTTAGAGTCTCAATTCTGAAAATTTCAAAGGAGGGAACAAATGCTTGGAAATTTGTAGGCGTTTGTAGGCGGATTTCTTCTAAATGTAGCCTCTTTTCTGCTCCCCTCAATGTAACACTTTTATGCATTACTTTTTTCTAATACATACTTTGAAAAAAGGCATTCCGTGTTAATAAGATATGGGAACTGCATTGCAACATTCTGAAACAAGCAGAGTTTGGTGTATATATATGGGACAGTTCTCCTATAAATGCAAAGATCTCTAAGCACGGTAAATTCTTATTTAAAAAGCAGGTGAACCTATTTCTCCTCCGCTGGGCTGAACAACACATGTTTTAAAATGGCTGAAATGTTCCTCTTTTTACAGTAGTCGGATTTTGCTTCTCTTGAAGCGTGGGGGGGGGGTTGTATCCCAATTAACTGGCCTCGTTGATTTTAATCACTTTAACTGACTAAAGATAAGCTTTGTATCAGGACTTGCTGGGGACTGAGCTGCCTTGAACTCAGCCTGCAAACAAACATCCACGAGATTTCATTACGCCTTCGAATCCAAGCCATTATTCCATAAGGTAAACAAATATAAACCAGGTTCACGTTGACTTGAATGCAGTGACTTGATATGCTATTTTTGCCCAGATATGCGATGCCTAGCTGATAAAAGACAGGAAATGGCCACTTGGCCAATGTAAACATGAAAGAGAGCCCTAAACCTAAACCAGTGGTTGGGTTCCAGGGATGGCTATTTTTCAAGCCAACCAGTTTGTTCTCGAGAGAGAAACCTTGCTCCACGTCGCAAAAGCAGGTTGGCCGGGAACTGAGCAAGAGCCTTCTCTGTGGCTACACGTCAGTGGTTCTTGGAGTCACGTTGCCAACTGCCTGGTCATCTTCTCAGGGCGAAGATGCATTTTTTCAAAATCCCAGCAGGTTTGTGCCTTTCCAGATTTTTATCGGAAAAAGTTGATTTTATTTTATATGTCATTTTTTATTCAAGCCCCGCGTTCGAACAGTTCAAAGGGAAGGTTAAGAGCGTTAATCAAAGCATGCCTTCCCACATGGTGTAAAACGTGTAAGATCAAATAAACAGTCACATCTACAGCAACAGAGAGGAAAAACACTAGCAAACGTTGGAGAAGATCCCGGTGGAATTAACAGATGATTAAAGGGTCTGGGGGGGAATAAAGTGCCTTTATTGGGCCCAGAAAAGGCAGGGAAGATAGCACCAGGTGAATCTCAGTCGGAATGGCGTTCCTAAACCAGAGGCTACCACTGAAAACGCTTCGTCCCGGGTACCCTAAATCTGTTCCCGAAGCAGTCGTTTTATTCAGACGTACTTCATGCCAATGAAGCCTCTGCTTTTATGGACTTTATGGACCGATAACAAGGGTATAAGGTGTATTAGCATCTGCTGGGCATACTTCTGTCAAACCTTTCACGGTCCTGCTGTTTTGGCTGTTTCTCATTCTGCTGAATGACCCACAGGTATCTGCCAGAGCGATCCCTCAGCTGGTGGCCTCCCGAGACCTTGAATCACATCTCCCTTTGTCCTCAAACAGTCTGAGAAAGGCTGCTGTTCCATTAGGGTGTTTCTTGTTTTAGCTTTCTGCTATTGGGGGTGCCTCTCCATGCTACTTTTGGCGTGGAAAGCTTGTTCACCTGAATCTACTCCTTTGCTACCCACGTTAGCTTTTTAAAGTCTTTCTTGCCGCCTTTGGGGAACCCCTTCTGCTGTTCTGATTTCCTTGAGCGGAAGTAAATGTCACACAGTGGGCAACGCTTCCTTATAAACCTTCTTGGCCAGGAAGAATCAAATCCCCAAGGTGTGTCCTCAGGGCATGATTAAGAAAGTCAAGATGGCAGCCACCATGGTGCGATGGAAGCTCTGCCCGTTTTTTACAGGCATTGTGATGTCCACAAAAAACAGGCAGAGCTTCAATGGGGCTTCCATCTAGACCTTTTTTTGACCACAACCTGTGGACACCTGGATAAGACAAGTAAAGGGAGAAGTTGACAGTTTCATTTGCATCCCAGGTAGCTTTGCATTGATCTAATTTTGGATCGTCCACATCTACTGGCAATCTAATCTTGATTCATTGCTCGGGTTCACAAAACACACTGCCCGAATGTCTGGTCAACAAACAAGCAGGTCCCGCTATCTTTGCACCTCTGAGTGGTGGGCTGGGGTGGGGGCTCTTTTATTAATTAAAGGTTGACTGTGCCTTCCATTTCAGAGCGAGTTACAACATGCTGTTCACAACTAGACTTTAAAGCGGTGTTTTTCAAAGTTGGCAACTTGAAGATGTGTGGACTTCAACTCCCAGAAGTTTCATTTCCCATGCTTTCATTCTCCCACGCTGACTGGGGAATTCTGGGAGTTGAAGTCCATGCATCTTCAAGTCGCCAAGTTTGAAAAACACTGCTTTAAACCTACCACAAACCTTAGTTCTAAATTCTGACTTCCATCAACCCAAAGGGGAACTACTCTAGGTTTGAATGACACATTAAACCTATGACTTGAATTACGGAGCCATGCGCGGGGGGGGAGGGATAAGGTGTCGAAAGGAGCCCACTTGTTAACTCAACAACTAGGGCTATTGCAGAGTTTGTTTCTTCCAGCACCCAAAAACTGGGGTCATGACAAGTTCCCCAAATCTGGGACCATTTGAAATTGAAATACGGTGTTGAAAGCAAGCTAGAATTACAACTGTGAAATGTCTGTGTAAAAAAAAATTCACTGCTCATTTCCTTCCATCTTATCCTTCTCCAGTTCTTTTTGTGATGCAAAAACATGAAGCGGTACTTATAAAGACAGGATTCTGGAAGATCTATTCCCCCCCCCCTTTTTTTTTGGGAAGAAGTGATTTCAAAAGGGATTAAATATGGATACAGTTGGTTCTAATTCAGCATTATTCCTTCTTTCCCTAAAACACAGGATTTTTTAAATGCCAAAACAGATGTGAATGAAACTTACTGAAACTGGAAGATGTTTCAAAGGTAAACTAAGAACTGTATAAAAGATCTTTAAAAGTAACTGAAACAAGGTCGCTGTACGTTTGGCCAGAAACAACTTTTTTTTTGGTTAGCTTAAGAGGTGAATCAATAGGCAGGAATAATTGAAGTAATTAATTTTTGTGCAGTTCCTACTCGTTTAAAAGAAATTGTCTATAATGTTCTTTCTGTTTATATTTCCTACTTCCCATTTTTCCCAAACCTTGTTATTCACATAACTGGGGTTTGCAATGTTATTGAGATGATGAAGATGCTAATTATACATTGATTTCCTGGAAGGGTTTTCAAATGGTTGCACATTTGCTGCTAAGGTGTCTTAGCGTATCCTTTTTTTCCCATTGCAGATGCTTCCAAAACATTGCAAGTAAAAAGAAATTAAATTGCCACCAAAACACCAAAAAGGACATAACTTCTCCTTCCTCTTGTTTTGCATGTTTTGTATCATTCCCATAGTATCACAAATCCTCGTATAATTGTAAGCATACTTTCCACCCTGGTTTGTATATTTCAGTAATTTTTAGGAAATGTTTTGGGCAGACTTTTGCACTAAAGCTGAAATTTACTACCATAAAATTGGTAGAGGTCACTTTTCCTCCTGCTGCTCCCGTTTTTTGTTTTTCCTGCTTTCTGGACCCACCACACTTGGAGGGTCTCTGGAGATCAACTGATTTTTTTCAAAGCTGATTATTCTAGGCCACGG